GCGGATTATTCACAGATGCAGGAATGCTGCATGCGAGTAAATTTAATTGGTGACGGAGTATTAATGAATCACAAATTATTGAGTCTTAAAACTATTTATGATATTTCATGCAATGGTTCATCGTTAAGTTGTACGCGTTCCATGCGTTTCTATTTAAAGCACGGAGACGTTAGAAAATGCAGTGTCTGTACGTCATTTTATGAAAATCTGATTCGTCATAGTCTTTTGAAAATAATAAATCATTTTGCTGGAATTCTAGTATTCTTTAACGTAATATATTAGCGATTTACAACTTCGGCAACTGGTCAATGTCTCAATGTATCATACGTAGTGAGTTCAGTCTACGTCGGTGACATACGTATCGCATAGTTGTTTTTATGCAAACAATGTGTCAGTAATATGTATTAATTTTTCTGATAACACGTTATTCAAAATGTTTATTATCAGATATAGATTTTAATTATTTGGGAGTGTTGTTATTACATAATTCGTGTAGCATTTCATATATAAGTTGCACCAATTTTAAAATATTGGCAGGAATTCTGATTTTTGAGCATTTTTTCGTGGTATACATTATTGGTAGTATACCTCAATTTAATTCTCAATTGGTTTCGTAAGTTGTTCATTTGGTTTTGTCTGTCTAACTAAAACCAATTTATTTAATTGACATGATAACATTAGCTAAATAAAACTGTGCCTTGCATATGGAAAAGTGTGTATTTTGGGTAACAATAAATTTAACGAGTGTTTAAGCTAACAATGAATTTAACATGAGATATAACAATAGACATTATTTCAGACACACATTTTGTTTCTAAATACGTTCATTTCCACATAAAGTGAATTCATATATTTGCTTTGAGCTCTTGTTACTTACTTTTTAGTTTTAAAACGTCCTCAAATAAATTTATCACTTTACCTCCTTGAATCTCTCTACCATCCCCTGCTATTCTCATCTAGAGATGAGTCAGAGAGAGCGAGCAAACAACACAAGCACAGCGAAAGCACAAGCATGTACTACAACACAGGTTTGAAAGGATAATGAAAAGTACAGGACACTTTTCACATACATTTTATTATCACAACATTATTTCTCTTAAAATTTCCATGATTAATAACACGATCTTTATTCATTCATATTCATTTAAATTCCCGTTAGAACAGTAGTATATGGATCTTTTGTATACAAATTGTTTCTACGGTGTTTCATTTACAACTCGAATATACAGTAGCTGTGTTTTATTTTTTAAAAACATCCCTTCACAGAAGGGGACAGATGAAGGGAGGAAGGGAGGAAAAGGGGGTGAGGGGCGGCGGATGGCCGCAAGGGGCCAATTAAGGTTACGTTAAGTGATAATGTATATATGCAATTGAATACATATATATAGAAATGGGGACAGATTCAGCACCGCTGTGCTCGAGGTTTTCAAACGCGTTCGGGGCATCGGGGCCGTTGTCCCGTGAAGGCGACTCATTTGAGACGGATGGCTTGAAGAAGGGTGGAGAGGCGCCGGATGGGTTAGAGGAGTAAAAGAGGGAGGAGGTGGCCCACGAGCACAGCAGTTAGCCGGAACGAGTCAAGGACTCTGTAATAAGGGCTTCGTTCAATTGGGTCTCTTATGCAAACATCTTTGAGCTGACCCAAGAACTGTGTGAAGTTTCGTTCAGGTTTGTAAAAAGCGATCTTAATGATCTTCACTATACATTGACAATTAGTTTGTGGTATGATGGAGTGAATCAGTGAAGAAGAACGAAACTCTGACAATATATTCCCCTATTTGTTTGTCATATTAACCTTCTCCTCTTGTTCTTTCTTTCAGAATGGGCATTATGAATCTAGTTTGTACATAAGTATTCGAGACTTCATTGCCCAAGTTTTAGAACAGAGCATAGTTAATGGCATGACTTATCTCACGATGTTGAGAGGAGCGTTTTAAACAGCAAAATTTTCATAACAGAAGCCCTTAAAACAGTGTAGGAAGATGGGAATTGCCTAATAAAAACGAAGTGTTGCAGAGTTTGTGACATTTCAAATTTCTAACAATCAGAAAAACTATCTGCCGATGCAACGCACTTTTTTGTGAATCGAAATCAGGATGGAAACAAATATTCACATGAATTGAAATGGAATAATACTTAATACTGAAATACAACTAAGTGATAATTTTATGTAAATATGCAGGAAAAGGGTCATATAAATTCTTGACTATTTTCTGGCCTCACTGTACAGCGGTCACAAGGAATTAACAACCAAACAAAAACGTCAACTCACTTTCGAGTATATGCTTGATTGCCGTTGCAAGAAATTGAGGACGAGAGACCTGTACATAATACAACACCCAGTTAATGTGAATACATTTGGACTATTGTATTTAAGTTTTCGAGTGAACGTATGCTTTTAGAAGCACAAAAATGCTCATTAGATTATTAAATATACACGGTCTCAATTTTAGTTTTTTTACGGTACAATATCTCATCCTTAAGAGCCGACACCAACGTGCGAATCTCTTGCGAGTCTCTCAGACAACGGACAACCCTTGGACCGCGTCGGGAAGCCTTTTCCAACAAAAATCATTTCTCTCGTGTGGATAAACACAACACAAATACATGACATCACAATACAACAAATACAACACAACACCAAACGCAACACATGAAGCGTACGGCGGGAGCGAATAGTTTGAAAATGTCGGAGGATTTGGGAGGTTGGAGAAAATAGGAGAGGTCCGCGCATGGTGGAGCACGCGGGCCAGATAGCACAGAGTCGAGGCCAGGAGAGTTGACAAGTGCAGGCCACGTTTCTAGCCAATATGACGAGGATCGTAATGTTCAGTTATAAAAGTAGAAACCGAATGTGCCTCTTTGTGAAGAAAGCTGTTTTCCCTCTACTGTTGCATTTTAAATATATTTTTTCTCCAACTATTGCCACTGTCCCTTTTGCTGGAGCAATAAGTGACAGGGCAATCCAACAAAACGCTACCCAATTAACAGATGCGTAGCTGTATATGTATTAAGCTAAACTAACATATTTGTGAGGGAATCTTATGATTTAATCACCTCAAATAAGTCTTCTTTTAAATGTATCACACTAATCGAATATACCCTTATATTACATTAATGATAATCTGACTAATAAAGCATTGTACGGCAGATGTAAAGCAGCACATAACAATGATCCATAGGTGGTGTGGAGCGGGGCCCTAGCTGCATTCCTTGCAGCGATGGCCCACGGGATGGGGGCCGGAAGGAGAGACTTGGCTCC